ATATTTTTAGTCACAGATTATCGAATTATTTGGTCACAAATTATATTTTTAGTCACAGAAAACCAAAATGACTAGATCCACCCCCACCACCTCTCCACTATCGCCACGACCACTACCACCGTCTCCACGACAACCACCACGACCAACATCACCACCACCACCACTACCACTTGCGCACCCTCACCCCACCACCACCACCACCAACACCACGGGGAAACCACCACCTCCACCACCAACAGAAATGCACAACCGTGACCGCCACCACCAACAACCACCTCCACCACTACTTAGCCACTATCACTGTCCATTGCCACCAACAATAAAAAAGGCACCACCACCGTCACCATATCCACCCCCACCACCTCTGCAGGAATCACACCATATGCAACTGTTTGAAGCTTATGGAACTACAATGAACTAGTTGAGGGGCACTTAGGTAATTGTAACGATCGATTGACGGCTATATGAGAGATTAGAAACAGTGAATGAGAAGAATCCAATGGATTTTGATCTTATTAATGATCTGATTTTGCAACAAAAAGTAAAATACTATTACGATGGTGCAGATGAGAGAAGTAAGCAACACTCGTGTAATCCTCAAAATCAACAAAAATCAATTCCAAAAAATCAACGCAATCTGGGTGCTGCAGCCACGCTCTGTAGAGATTTCGACGATATGGCTGCGGCGCGATTTACAGTCTCCGGAGATGGCGGTGGTCCATTTGTGGAGAGGGCAGAGAGAGATAGGTGAGGCTACGCGATGGAGAGAGTGAGAGGTGAGAATAGAGAGCAGTTAGGTGGTGTTGGCGGTGGAGAAATATTGAGAGAGAGAGAAGGGGCGACAATTGGACTAATTAGAGAGAGAGAGAAATGTGAGAAATTAGGGGCTTTATAATATTATTATTAATATTTAATTAAATATAAAAATCTGTATCTATCTATAAAATTTCTGATTTTTGAACATTAAAACATGAAATCTGATTTTAGAATTTAGATCTCCAAAAGTAGGAAAATGTGTAATTTCCACAATTTTAAAGTACATTAAACATCTTCCACAGTTTTATTCATGTGCTCATGACACCAACCCTTGTCATTTTATGGACAAATCAAAAGTCAAAAAACAACCAGCCTAGATCTTGCACCAAGAACTCCAACCATGATGTGAAACGCATAGTTGCGACTTTTTATCAATAAAATGTGGATAACAAATTGTTTAATTTTCTTGGACTCTTTTTTTTACTATATTTGATTCATTATTAGATCTACTAAAAAATTTAAAGTAATTCATTTTAGCCTCTACTTGTCTTTCATTAATTTTTATTTGGGAAAAAATAAGTTCTAAAATAGTAAATTTTTTAGGAATGTATGGTTAAAAAATAGAGAAAAAAGTTTTGAATTTACGTGTAAAATATTTTATTCTCTTTCTTATTTTTTCTCATTTCTTCATTTCAACCAGACAATTTCCAAATAAAATAATATTACACACAAATCTAAAACTTTTCATCACTTTTCAACCACACATTCTCCAATCAATCACTATTCTAAAAATTTTCAACCCATTAAAATGGGTGTCAAACACTGACTTAATGGGAGACAATCGTAAGTTTTTTACTATAGTTGTGTTAGTTTTACTCTCTTCAAATGAAGTGTTCATTTGAAATTGTTTCTATTAGGAATGAGAGCCAAATAAAGCCTACTAGGACAGGATAAACCTCCCGACCCGGCCCGACCCTAGTTGAATTGAGCAGTTTTTCGTAAGTTTAATATTTGAGTAGCTCGATTCTAGACCAAGAATCGAATACCTATTTTAGCCCAAATCGAAAATATAATATTCATATTTCTAATTTTCAATCCAAGTCCAATTAAACAAATTGACCTAAATTTTACTCAAATATCTTATATTCTACATAGTGCCGTTACTATCATTCTGAAGAAATCGAATTGAAGACCTATAATCGTGAGCTCGCTATCTTCATCTTCCCGTGATTTTAATAGTCAAATTTATGAAAAACTCAACAAAGAGAGGAGCAAAAGATATCACGAAATTCGATTACATTATTTTGTAAGAACTAAAATTGAACATGTCATTAGTTGAATTAATATAACTTCCCTTTAAATATTTAAAAAATTAATTATTATACGGAACTCGAGAATTGAATGGAACCCAACCCAACCCAACCTGACCTGAAGGTTCCATAATGAAATTTGGACCTAACGATTTCACTAACTAAATACTCAAAAATTTGTTCGGTTATATTCGGTTCTCCTTAGAATCGAACAGAACTGGACCATGTCCAACCCTAAAGTCTACACATGTTATGTCTCAACTACCCAAGCCGTCATTTTCTTAATTTATTGTTAATCAAATATCACCTCCATTTTTTGATCAATATCATTTTTCACTCAGTCAAATATTGTATCCTAAACATGCATGTAAATGCAAGTACAGAAACGCAAGTGTTCAGTGATAGTTGCCAATGATATAAATAAAGGATCTCAGGAATAAAGACGGACACAGGTACATATTTCTTAAAGACCAAAAAGAACCATCTGGTTCGCTCAAGTGTCCTACAGTGTAACCATTGAACATCAGGGCAGAATTTGTTCTACGAGAAAAAGCCAAAAGAAAAAATATTCGATCTTCTCCCTCTGTAAAAGAAAATCATTCATAACTTATTTGAACATCAAGTACACTTGACAAAAATGTGCAACTGATTTTCCCCCCAAAAAATCAGAATAAAAGAACTAACTTCGTCCTTTGACTGAAACTCAATAAAAAGTAATTTTTGAGCATTTTGTTGGTGTTACCGCATGAAAGGAACCAAGTATCTCATCTCCATTCCATTTCCGTTGGATAAATAGTATATCTTCTTCCAGTTTTCCTCTGAAAATGCATCATGGCTTACTAGTCTTCGCCTGCCGTAGATAAATTTTTTTAAACAAACTAAAAATTAATGAAAATCAATGAAACTACGTTTAGCACATCAGCATAACTAAAAAATATCTTATGAAGTTCCTTTCTTTTTCAAATGGTAATTTATGTAGAGAATAAACCTTAAGCAAGCAATGGCTGTTTGGCCTCAACCCAGTTTGAATATAGAAATTGGATAGGCTTAAATTTTAAGGATGTCGCTTCCAAAGGACAGGATTGCTCTTTATACTCCTAAGGCTATTGCTACATAACTGGATTCTCGTCTTGAACTAGTTGTATAGTTGATTAAGAGCATACTTGGCTAAGTTCAAAAAGTAACTTTTAAGCTACCTTTTTCCCTAACATGGTATACTTTTTTTCTGGCACAAAAACTTGCTATTACATTAAGTCTATACATACTTCTGTAGAAAGCAGTTCTTTAGTCTTAAACATGCTCAAGAACATCAAGCACTCAAGTTCGTCACATTATACTTGAGATGGAAACCAACCCTATGTATGGAAAGAATCTAGTGGCACCTGGCATCTAGAGTAGCTAAGACCTTTGTAAATTTCAATTTAGAGGGAGGTGAAAATTCATGGTCAGTGCTATATATCCCTTCTGTTAAAAATTTCCAAACATGCAACCCCAAGACTAGTGGAGATTGCAAGATTGCAACAGTCCGAGGAACTTTAAATGGGATCGAACACCTAAAATTCAAAAGGCAAACATATTGTAGACATGAATTATTTAATATCTCAAATTTGCAAACCTGACAATTGTTTCAGTGTGTAAACTCCTTGTGGTGATATATATGGGAAACAACGAGACGCCCAAGAAAAGTAAAAAGCAATTCACAGATATCCATCTAGTAAGCACCTTCATAAACTAACTGAAGTAGCCAGTTTATTGGTTTTGTTCTAGTTACAGTAAATGATTGTGTCAATCGCATCTCTTGATTTTTCAAGAACTAGGCAATGAAAAAATATTTATTTTTCTGCAAAAGTAACTTCTAATAATGTTACTTTCCATTATAGACTAGTAAAATTTGTGAGGTTAATCTCAATGTTTTCAAAACCATTGAGGCAAGGTAAGTAAAGCATAAATGACTGAGGCTGTTCAATTATAATTAAAATATATTAGAAGCCAATCTGGTGGAAATCTTTGAAGATATATCATATGGAATACTTTACAAATTGGATACGTAATTAGGGTTTACGATTCTCTAGTATTTTATTAGATGTTTCTACCTAAATTAGACTAGTTTAAACCAAGGGCTTATGTTTTGTAATAAAACACAACTTATATAAGAAATAAATTGATATTTTCTCCTTCTAAAGTTTAAACCAAGGGCTTATGTTTTGTAATAAAACACAACTTATATAAGAAATAAATTGATATTTTCTCCTTCTAAATTCTCTCTTTTCTCTCCCTTTTCTTCTCTTTCACTTTCTTTTCTCAATCTTGTTCAATTGTGTTCGTCATCAATTTGATCAATTTCGTATCAGAGTAAGTTGTATTCCTTTTGGCCAAATAAATTCGCGAAGTTTTGATAGGTATTCAAGTTCAAAAATTTAGTGCCGCCAAAAGTCATTCTAATTTGGTATCGAAGCTTGATGCTCTCCTCTGACCAACTTGCTCTTTGCACGTACACAACAATTGTACAAAGATGGTGATTGCAACAGCTTTCCAAACCACACAAAAGACGGTGATTGCAACAGCATTTCAGAAGACAATTTTCTCAAATATGTTCTCCAAGATATATATCTTATCATGTAACAGATAATATAAACTGGCAAGATAAAGGGAGGGAGGGACACAGAGAGTACTCAATGGAAACTATGAAATCATCACTTCAATAACTCAAATTAATAGGAAAAAAATTTCAAATAAAAAATATTGAAGGGCAAGAGAATATCAAGATCTGGCTTATCCTTCTAGTTTCCACGAAAGTATAAGAACCATATCACCTCATGGAGATAAAATATGGGGATTAAGTCTCTAAGTAGATAAAGAAATGAATATAAAACTGCGCTGATGATATTTCAATAGATAGAGCAATAAGAGTAGCAAATTTCTGCATACTGCAGCACTCGAAGATTTTACAATCTAAATGATTGCAAAGTTTCTGCGATAATTCTAGTGATATTTATTCTAACTACAAAGTGAAAGCCACAGAAAAGGACTTGTATTCAATCAAATTAATACTTGTCTGAACAGTAAAGGAAAAATAAGCGACTTAAGTATTTTGAATAATTTTAAGAAATACTTAAAAATGCTTAAAATTATGGATTTGAGAAATCAATTATTAAAAAAAAAAAGGAGTTATGACAAGTATGTCTACATGCTCTACGGTTTAATTATTCATTATATGACAAATTTGAACAAAGATTAAAGGTAGTAAGAAGGGATAGAAACATGAAAGGAAAGTAAAGGAATCCACTGCTGCTCAGTTTTATTTGAGCCATATTTTTCATGAGAAAAAAACCTGCAAAACAAAAAGAATGTGAAGTTTAGAGCGCGAGTTAACAACATTTGATCCAAATCAAGGTCGCAGACCTTCCATCTCTTGTCTAGTCCTTTTTTTTTTTTTTTCATTCTTACTTTCACTAACCTCTCAGTTCACAAGGCATAGAAGAAGTTAAGTTCCGGGATTACCCTAGATTAATTAACCTATCATAAATGTCTATTCAAAAGGATCAAAGGATCAAATGCAGCTGTAGTGTAGACAAGAAACATTTGATCAGCAGACAGCAAATTAGTGGCTCCCTCGGACCATATCTAAGATATTAGTTTAAAAACTGTTTCTTGTATACTGATAATCAAATTAATGCCAGTAAGGAAATCATAAGTTCAGTTGAGCAAACCTTAGATAGTAATGGCAAACAGAAGCAGCTTCATCCAAATTGTACCGAGGAAAATTGATGCGAGCATCAGTGGGAACAAATGGTAATTCTTGACGAAGTTTCCCTACGGCAGTTGAATGAGAAAAGGCACCCACCTGATGTCATTCTCATTAAGCATTGATCTGACTGCTTTTACCTGCACAATGATATTTGACACTGTAACATCATGCAACACTAATATAGCAAGGAAATTAAGCTTAGGTACCTAAAGTAAAGAACAGAAATGGGAAAATTTCTGTTTATAAATTAAATCGCTTATAAATTCTTTGAGCTTTAATTTGTTATGAACTCACATCAAGAAATAATAAAAAAACTGCAATCATTTCTCACTTTAGGCTCACTCCACTCTTTTGCCGTTCAAGAGTACTAAGTAACCAAGAACTCGAAAAATGATCAGGGATATAACCCAGCAATTTCGATCGGTTTTCAACAATAAACCTAAATTTCAAAAGCCTGAAATTTATAGTGTAGTAACCTAATAGGCACTCTTTTTTATTTTTTATTTATTTTTTTCATTTTTTTCTTTTTCTTTTTCTTGAAAATCATCAAAAAAGAAAGGACATATAAAGAAAGCAAACAGAAGATTTTTCCAAGATAAAAGACTTCCCATCTTGCATTTTCTTTAAATTGGACATCGTATAGTACTTGTTTTACTGGTGGCATCTACATCTTTGACTTCCATCCTATCCATTTCAAATGTCTCAAAGTTCTAGTGATTCCTCTTAATATAGTATACATACAATAACATGAATCTCTTATTATAACAAGCTCAATAAGATCTTAACTGCAACTCATTTCTACATCCAAATACATCACAAGTAAGCAAAAGTGACGAAATGGCTCATATAGTTGTTAACATCATGATTCTTCATAAATTCATGATATAGTTTCCTGACAAATGTGAACTGCCCTTCACCGGGCAGAGATGCATGGGTAACTTCTTTAGTGCCCATTCGGCCCCCATTATTCCACATTATAATAAGGATAATAATTTTTTTGAAGAATGTGTGATTAAAAAATAAGTTTTTGAGTTTATGTATAATATTATTTTATTGGAGAATGTGCGGTTGATAAGAACAGAGAGAAAAATGAATTATAATTTAATGGGGGGCCAAATGGGGGCTTAATTGTGATATGAAACAAATTCGCCAATAGTTATCTATTCATGATCCCAGACCATAATTCCTAACACATATGAACATCTATGAATAGAAAAGCACAAAATGACAATACAGAAGCTCTCTTTTATTTTTAATAAGTGATAATCTTTCAAGTTATTTTGAGTAATTACACTTACAGTTGCAAGTTCTCTAGCATGAACGGGTTGGCAGGAACGAACTGTTACTGGCTCCTCATACTCACTAAATGTAAACCAACTGTTATACTGTTGAGAAACAGCGGTAACTGATCAACGTAATGGAAATGAGTTGCATATAAGCAAAATAATCCCAGATCAACCTTTTAATCCAAGAAATGAGAAGAAAATTTAATGACACAAAGATAAACTCCTCACTTGATCAATGGCAATAAGAACGGGAATATCTTTCACATCTGACAATTCCTTCCTCAAACGAACTACCACTCCAACAGCAGCATGTGAGTTATTGACTCCTGCTTGAACAAGATCATACAGTGTAGAACCTTCAGAAATTTTCATTTTGTCAATACCCTTTAGCCATCCAACACCAGCACCCTCTCCCAATAGAATGGGATCAAGGGTATTGCACTTCAACTTTTTCAAGCAGGCCTTGTACCTCAAGAAATCCTAAAGGAAACAACAAAGAAAGGCCATACTTCAAAAATGTGTACCAGCACACACAAACATTATAAGTTACGATGTGGCGTAAAGTATAATATTTCATGCTACTTAGTTACTTGAAAGAGGCTAGTTGGCGAGATCGTGTATATAAGGGATAAAAGTCATCAAATTTAAACTTATTTGAAGAAAAAAGGGTGAAACCTTCATGTCTTCTCTTCTTTGTACCTTCAATGCCATAGAATTTCATTAAATTCAAGATGGCCCGGCATTGCCAGACAAATTCTCGTAAGCTAGCTTCTGAACTATCAGAATGCTACAATTTCTAGTTATTCAGATATTCATGGTCATAGTAAGCTATACTAATACTACTTCCAAAATCACGCATAAGCTGCTGGATTTCGTTGTCTTCTGGAGGAATTAACGTCACGAAGAAATAAATAGTGTTAAAGCACTAATACTAGATGATGAGATCTAAAACCAAAAAGGTATAGTGATCACTAGATTGTCATATCACAAGTTAGTACTGTGTAACTGAGAGAAAAATAAAACACTTACCTGCAGACTGTTTGCTGCCTGCACCGGAGTATCCCACAAACCAGTCTGAGGATTTTTATAAAAAAGTCCTCCATGGGTCCACTCTCGACCGCTGGGCACATAAAGAACAAGCCAACCCCAAAGCTGGAGCAATACTTTTCCCACAACTCACAGGACCATCCAATACAATTTTCTTACGAACTATGGAACCTAACAAAATAAAGTCATCATAAGTCATTTGTTCTGAGAAAGCTGTGACCCCTACAAAATCTTCCACTTCTGTTCTTTTCGTTTTATTGTTTGGGGCTGGGAGTGGGTTATTCACATATGGAACTAATATACATAAACCACTAATTCTTAAAACAGCTTAAGAGTATTGAAGCTCAAACAATTATATACGGGTGAAAAAAGGAATTTTTAAGAAGTAGCTACATAAAACTAAATAATTTCTGATGCCATCATCAGTTTGATGTAGACTGAACTTAACACATTTGACAAGCTATGCTGACTTTATTCTCTATTTATTTCTGAAACATAAGAAGAAACAGAAGAAGATAGCAGGCATCTCATATTTCATTCTTTGATAAACTCTAGTAGATTAAAATGTGTATTACGTAAAACTGATAGGCATTACACACAGATGACTTCAAATTTCTCCCTTTCCTAGTTCATTTTTGTACCGCATAGGAAAATTAAGATTTTTGTTACATATAACCATCAGACCATATGGATGATGGAGTCCCATGACTATACGGAGGATAAGGACTTAGGCTAACTCATTTGCCAAGGTCTAAGCAGGCTATTAGAATTTTTAATTTGGTCTCTCAACAATGAGTATGTTGCATCAGTCTAGAAAATCAACCAAATTATTCATATCATACTGCATTTCTAGAGACAGCAGCATATGAAAAGCTTCCATTGTAGCTTCCTATCACACCAAACTTCACTACAGAATCCACACGTTTTAAAATCCTTAGTCAAAATAAATATTATCGCAGAAAGCATGCAATATATATGGAAGTTACTCTTTTTTTTTTTTTTTTATAATTATACTTTTGTTATTAGTGTAAATTACTTTTTTTTTAAAATAGTTTTGTTAGTAGTGTAAATTCAAACTCGAGTTCTCAACTTTTGATAGGTTCGGCATATCGGTCTACAAAGTCCAACCTACCAAAGTGGCACATGGTCTTTAAACTTCGACGATGGAGTGCGAGTCTTTGAGGGACGGAAAATGTATGTTTTGAAGATTAAAAAGTTAATTTTTTATGTTAAAATGATTACAATGCCCTTATTTTTAATAAAATAAAAACAACGGAAAAAATATCAAAATTCACTATCTTCTCCATTTACAGCATGATGCCCTACACAAAATTCTCTCGCTCCCGTCGGATGCCCCATGCCCCATTTTCTCTTGAGTAATGTCATTCAACATCACTGCGTCTAATATATCAAGGTGAAATGTTGGAGCCCCCCCCAATTGCTAAAAATAGGTGATACACATCGACAAAGTAAGTTCAAAATAGTATATATTAGCTCAATTCACTATCTGGACAATTCAATATTTTCACTTTTAAGTAAAAAATTATGTTGAAGTTATATATTTATTTTCAACTTTCATTAGTTTAAAATATTATTTATTTCAAATGTGCATTTTTGGTTTCTAGTAAACCCCTATTTGTCTCTCATTCTTTCAAAGCCCTTCTTTCTACTTGCTCATTTTTAATCATACCTTCACACAATAAAATATTTTATATGTAAATTCAAAACTTTTTCCTACTTTTCAACACACATCCACTAGAAATTCACTATTCAAAACAATGAAAAAGCCCATCAAACAGGGGCTAAATTTGCTCTCGGACATTTTAAGCTTAGCCAAACGTACACCCAATTCTTTGAGTTGATTAAATCATCAATCACTTACATTTGCATCCGGTTACTACTTGCTCACCCAAAAATAAAAGGTTACTACCTGCTCACCCACTTTTTAAAAAATTACCCATCTATCACCCAATTCACTTTCATTCATCCAACTAGGCAAAAATGTCGGTGACTAACACCGTTAAAATTTGACAAGTTGGATATTACCGACTCAACTAATAGCGCTTTCTTCCCAAAAAAAAAAAAAAATTCAAGAATCGTTCTTTTTTCCTTCAGCTTAGCAAGTCTAATTTTTCCCAATCCTCTTTGAAAAGTTTCCCCAAATTGATTTCATTTTTGTTAATTTCTTGAGGCTTTGATTGCTTGGTTTTTGCATAGTTGTCATCATCAAATCCCTGAAATGGAAAACTTGTTCAATAACTACATCGTGTTCAATTATTTCACACTTCTAATAGATTGTGATAAATTCTAACAAAATAGCTATTCCTTAGCTGAAGTTGATGAATCTTCCTTGGGCTTTTCTTTCTTGGGATGGAGTTTGAAAAAACGCAAGATTCGATTTAACTACACCTAGAGGGGGATGATTAGGTGTAAATGCAGAATTAACAAGTAACAAGTTAATTATGTTTAGATGATTAGTCAAACAATTCAATTAGTCATATATTTGAATACCGCAGTAATATCAAAACAATAAGAACAGCAGTAAACAACACCAAAATTGTTTATTGAGAAACCCAACGCGGAAAAACTCTGGGCACTTTACCAATCAAAGATCCACTATAAACTTTTGATAAACTTACAAACTCCCAGCAAAGTTGGCGAAACAAGCCTGTCTGAAGTTTGAAGCAGCCCTCCTGGAATGTGCACACTAACACTAATCCTTAGATCTAAAGATCCACTATAAACTTTTGATAAACTTACAGACTATCAGGAAAGTTGACGACACAAGCTTTCTAATCTCCTGTCTGAAGTTTGAAGTAGCCCTCCTGTAATGTGCACACTAACACCAATCTTGACTCTTCTTTGTAAAACAGTCCTCCTGGAATGAGCACACGAACTCCAATCATGACTCTTTACGCAGTTTATCTCCTGTAGATCTTTCCAAAAACTCTTCATTCTTCAAATTCTTTCTTGATCTTCAATGCAGCAAAGTTGACGACACAATCTTTCTGACAGATCCAAGTGAAGAATGCAATCCGGTGTTTGACTTGATGAATTTGATGTTTTCAATATGATGAGCACATATATAATTGAAGGAATGAACTTTTGATCTTGTGTATAATGAATTCTCTTTAGAAAATAGTATTTTCAATCTCCCTTTCGTAGAATATGTGGCGCCTCTATTTATAGGTTGGATAGTTTAGGTAAAATGGGCCAAGTAAAAGTCTCGAAAATCGAAATTAGGTCCGGCCGAAAAAATACGCCGCTCAAGCAAGGAGGACGTTTCGCTCGAGCTAAGGTATGTCGCTCGAGCGATAGTGAGGCGAAGGTCGAGCTGGATGTTCTTGCTTCATCCGTTCGAGCATGACTTTGGCGAGCAGCTAGCGAAAAATCGGTGTGAATCCTTCTTAATCCAAACATGAAACCCCAAACCCTAAACTAACCTACCAACTATGAAACTTTACAATTTAGTCCTTAAAATTTTATAATCGTTCAAGTTGGTCATTTTGTTCACAAAATCGACAATACAATATATAAACCTAACAAACTCCCCTTTGGCATTCTGTGATAAAACCAAATACAATACAAAAAATATACTATCAAAACTACCAAAGTCCAACTGAATCAACTGAATGTAGCTCTCACTTTGTTAAACACGTATCCTGAAATCAAAGACTCACATACCCAGTGTAAAAGCACGTGATATAGGAAATAAGCAATAAAGTACTTAGAAGCATAATTAAATCAAATAAATAAGCAAGCTAGTTTGAGATGCAATATTAATGCTAATCAAAACACCATGACCACATTAATCTCACAAAATATCAAAACTCAAATAGTTATGCATGAAATGCAACACAAATGCAATACGCATGCTCCCCCTCAGTGCATGATATGCAATGCAAATGTAATGCACAAGCCTCCCTTACTGCAAACTCTCAAAGTGTCAAAGCAATAGATAAATGTATCTATATCTCTCCCCAATGATCCCTCAAGACATAAGTGCAAAAATCAATGCAATGTATATCAAGTCAAATGTCAAAATGTATCTATGTCTCACTCTATCGACCCCTAAAGACATGTAGCTGCTCATATAATAAATGTGTATGATATGTCTCCCCCTTACAATACAATTTTCTCCCCCCTTTTGTCACAAATGACAAGGGAAAAAGCAAAATCACACAACATCTCAATAATATAGGTATAAACAATCACAAGCATATGCAGGGAACAATAATTTTTTCCACAATTCCAACTTAAAACACCAATTGAGTAAATGATATAAGTAACTTATATGCGTTAAGTGTCACTAATCCTCTAGCAGTAGGACTCCAAACCTTAAATTTGTGAGAAATGACATGCTAAACATCATTGCTTATAAGTATATTCCTCTACTTATGAAAGTCAAACCGTATAGGACATTAGAATTTACACATGAAAGCTCATTTCTAATGAAGAATTTATTTTCTCCCCTGACTTACAGCACAAATATTTTTCTTTTTATCACAGCTTTCAATAGGAATACTCACATATTTTTATTCATCGTAAGTGTTGGCTCCTTTTCATTAAGCGACTAACATGATCCCTGTAACGAACTTTAGGCTGGTTAACCCAAGTCAAATGGCCATAGGCACCAGATTATGAGAAAACCGCAAGCTTAATTACTCAAGTCAAGTAGGATTCGAAAAGAAGCATTAAGATATTGAGGCCCTTATGATTATTTTGCCGACACATATTGATTCATGCAGGAATAACATCGAGTTTAGGTATAATAAAAATGGTCAATTCATGTTTAAAATCACCCTATTAACATGTGACTGCCATCCTAAAACTCACACGCGCAGTAGAGTCCCACTGTCAAGATCATAGTGTGTGCAGTGCAGATGGTATATGAAGAGACCTATATAAAATACTCCATAAATATCCTAAGCTAGTCGTGGAAATTATATTACAGCTCACTAAATAAATTCATTCTTGATTACAACCAATAAAATCAAGTGTAATCGAAATCATGTTGTAAAACCAATGTCCAAATCAACATCTCCCTTTTTTTTGTTAAACTTTAAATCAAAGCAAGAAAAAAAATGTTTTTGTTTGATTTTTGCATAAAAACATGAATGCACAAATCACACAAGACATATAAAAATTCAAACAAAATACAAGAACATAAAATAAAATGCATGAAAGATAAGTAAATAAATATGATGCATGCATAACACAATGTCACATAGTAGTAGAATACCATCATACATCAAATATACTCAGTCAATGAGATACAGAAATACCAATAGCTGTTCTAAGAGATTCAAACCGAAGACCATCCGCAGCTTATTAAATAAATTAGCTAATTGGTTCTTAGTAGAAATATATTCAAGACTCACAATTTGAGTTTTCACAAGCTCTCGAATAAAATGATGTCTGATGTCAATATGTTTAGTTCGAGAGTGTTGAACATGATTTTTAGAAACATTAATAGTGCTGATGTTATCACAAAACACATTCATAGTACCATGTTCAATCCCATAATCACTCAACATTTGCTTCATCCAAAGCAGTTGAGTGCAGTAACTTCCTGCCACAATGTACTCGGCCTTGGCTGTGAACAATTAGATAGAATTTTGTTTCTTACTCATTCAAGAAATAAGGTTAGCACCAACATAAAAACAACCACCAGAAGTACTCTTTCCATCATCGGTATTATTAGCCCAATCAGCATCGGAATAACCAGTAAGATCAAGATTAGAGTCCCTAGAGTATTGGATCCCATAATCAACAGTACCATTTACATATCTAATAATACGTCGCATGACGCTCAGGTGTGATTCCTTAGGATCAGCCTGAAAACGCGCACAGACCTCTACACTAAATGCTATGTCAGGTCTACTAGTAATGAGGTAAAGCAGACTCCTTATCATACTCCTATACAGTGTTTGATCAACATTTTTACCTGTAGGATCTAAACCTAACTTGATACTGGTGCTCATAGGGGTTTTAGTGTGTTTTTTGCTATCTAACCCAAATCACTTGACAAGATTCTTGGCATATTTCGATTGAGATACAAACAATCCTTCATCAGTTTGCTTGACTTGAAGACCAAGAAAGTACGTTAATTCACCAATCATGCTCATCTCAAATTCTTACTTCATACACTCAGCGAACTTATGGGCAAGTGAATCAGTGGGAGAGCCAAAGACGATGTCATCTACATAAATCTGAGCTATGGTGATGGTATCCTTAATTCGTCTTATAAACAAGGTTCTGTCTACACCACCTCTCGCGAAACCATGTTCCAGGAAATATGCAGTAAGCCGATCATACCAAACTCTAGGAGCTTATTTCACCCCGTACAAGGCTTTATTCAGCCTATACACATAATGAGGATATTTCGGATCAACAGACCCTTTAAGTTGTTCCACATAGGCTTCTTCTTGAAGAATATCATTCAAGAAAGCACTCTTGACATCTATTTGGTACAGTTTGAAAACCAAGGTACAGACAACCGCAAGAAGAATTCTAATAGATTCTAGCCTAGGTACCGGGGTAAAAATTTCATCAAAATCAACACATTCAACCTGAGTGTATCCCTGAGCAACCAACCTAGCCTTATTTCTCGTAATGGTAGCTTGATAATTTATCTTATTCTTAAATATCCATTTAGTACCAATAACATTGCAATTATTAGGCCCAGGCACTAAGTCCCAAACTTTGTTTCTAACAAACCGATTTAATTCATCATGCATAGCATAACCCAACATTCATTCCTAAGGGCTTCCCCAACCTTCTTTGATTCAATCTGAGACACATAGTTCGCATATGACAGGTTGTTCAAAACCCTCTTGCGAAATCTCATTCCTTCTTCTATATCTCCAATCACATTAACCTTAGGGTGATTCAATTTGACTCTGGACTAAAGTTCTTTAAGTGATTTAGCTTCATTATCAGAAGTATAATCCTTAGTTGAAACAACCAACTTATTTGATGTTTGTGGGGGATCAACATCCAACTGTTCCCGCTCAACACACTCTCCGCCAATCTTCCCCTCACTACAAGCATCATCAACGACCACATTGATAGATTCCATCACAACACGTGTGCGATTATTGTACACTCGATAAGCCTGACTATTCTTAGAATATCCTAAGAATATACCTTCATCACTTTTGGAATCAAACTTTCCCAAGTTCTCTCTGTCTCCAGAATGTAGCACTTGCTTCCAAACACACGAACATACTTGATAATAGGTTGTTTACCCTTCAAGATCTCATACGGTGTCATGTCAATTTTTGGTCTAAGATAAACTCTATTGATAATGTGACATGCAGTATTTATGGCTTCACCCCAGAAATGCATAGCTAAATCTTTACCATGAAGCATAGCTCTCGCCATTTCTTGAATCACACGATTTTTCCTCTCAACTACCCCATTCTGTTGTGGAGTCATTAGTGAGTAGAACTCATGTTGGATTCCCTTCTCCAGATAGAAGTTCTCAAGATTTGAGTTTTCAAACTCCTTACCATGATCACTAGAATTGTGGACACAGAATAACCTTTCTCATTTCTAAGTTTCTTACACAAGGAGATGACAAGACTGAACACTTTAGTTTTATCTCTCAGCAATTCAATCCAAGTGAAATGAGAAAAGTCATCAACCACAACCAAGATATATCTTTTACTACCAAGACTTTCGGTCCTCGATGGTCCTACCAGATCCATATGGAGTAATTCAAGAGGTTTGCTCGTCAAGATCTTAGAAGTTTGTTTGTGGGGTACCTTGAGCTGTTTACCTTGTTGACACAGACCTCAAACAGTGGTATCAGAATTTTCCAGCTTAGGTAGACCATTGACAATCTCCTTTTTGGCAAGTTTGACAAACTGTTATGGTTCATGTGGCCCAGTCGTTGATGCCACAACTCAGTTATGTTGATCTTGGCACTACCACACCTGTAATTAGAATTAGGTAAGACTCCGTAACAATTTTCAGATGTTCCCACACCTTAAAAAACTATGTCACCAGTCGAGTCATATATACAGAACACCTTTTCTGGACAAATGTAACCTCAAAATCTGCATCATAAATTTGACTGATACTTAAGAAATTGGACTTTAAACCTTTCACATACAGTACATCTGATATGGTAGGTAGTCCAGTAATACTCACAACTCTTTTTCCAAGTATCGGTGCAGTAACTCAATCACCAAATGTAACTATACCACCATTCCACTCATCAAGTGAAGAAAACAAAGATTTGTCATCACACATGTGTCTTGAACATGCACTGTCAAGATATCACATGGAATTATTTTTCACTTTGAGAGCTGGTGAGCAACATGACAATTTAACAATTCTCCGGATCGTTCACTCTCATCCTTTCTTTCTCCTTTCTCAATATCACAGTCAGATTCGATTTCATCAATTAAGGTGAAGGCCATATAATCTTTCATCCTCACCACCAGATGTCTTATCATGAGAACTAGAATCTGACTCCTTATCACTCATCATCACGGCTAAAGCCGTACGCCTTTCTTTATTCGAGCTCCTATTCAAATTACGACATTCATTCCTAAAGTGACCAAATCCTTTGCACTCATGGCATTTGACAGATTGAGATTTCTTAACGGGAGTCCAAGAGGTGTTCTCACGTCTACCTCTCGTGAGTTTATTACGGACTTCACTATTCAGCACTTGAGGCTTTCTCCTATTCCTCATCACCTTCTGAAATTTTTTAACAAAATAAGCAATTTCGTCATCCCTAAGTATCTTAGTGTCAGTGGACTCGCTGTCAACTTCTCTAACAGTGTTCATGGCTATGCATTTCTGTTTCTTAGGCTGTGCTAAGGTGATATTCATAAATTTGGAGGGAACCTACAAGTTTTTCTACCTTAACGCTATTTAGGTCCTTACTTTCTTCAATTGCAGTTACCTTAGGTCTAAACTTTTCAGGTAGGGATCTAAGAACCTTACAAACAATTTTCGACTCGAGGATCTTTTCGCCTAGACTAAAACTAGAGTTCACAATATCGTTCAACTTAGCATAGTACTCATCAAATCTCTCATCATCATTCATCCTAAATTCTTCAAATCTAGACGTCAATATTTGCAATTTAGAGTTTTTCACAATTTTAGTACCCTCATGGGTTATTTCCAAAATGTCCCAAACTTTCTTAGCTATCTCACATATAAATACTCTCCTAAATTCCTTAGGAGACACAGCCATAAACAAAGCATGCAAACCTTTACTATTCCAATTATATTCATCAAAGTTTGTTTTGGTCCACAAAGAAATATCAGTGGGTATAATTACACTTACAACCATTTTTGTAGGCGGAGTCCACCCATTTTGCACACAAATCCATATACGTTCATCCAACGCCTTAAGAAAAGCTATAATTCGAACTTTACAGTAGGCATAATTATCGCCATCAAGATATGGCAGAACAGGCAAAGAACTACTTATCTAGACTAAATCATATAAGGGTCAAGAATCGAAATTAAGCTATGATACCAATTGAAAAAACGCAAGATTCAACCCAACTACACCTAGATGGGGTGATTATGTGTAAATGTGGGATTAAAACTTTAATCAGCAAGCAACAAGTCACAAGTTAATTATGTTTAGGCGATTAGTCAAACAATTCAATTAGTCCTATCTTTGAATATTACAGTAATGTCAAAACAGTAAGAACAACAGTAAACAACACCAGAATTGTTCACGGAGAAACCCATCGCGGGAAAAACTCCTGGCACTTTTCAAGTCAAAGATCCACTATAAACTTTTGATAAACTTATAGACTACCAGCAAAGTTGACGACACAAGTTTTCTGATATCCTATCTAAAATTTGAAGCAGCCCTTCTAGAATGTACATACTAACACCAATCCTGACTCTTCTTTGTAAAGCAATCCTCCTGAAATAAGCACACGAACTCCAATTCTGACTTTTTATGCAGTTTATCTCCTGTAGATCTTCCCAAGAACTCCTCGTTCTTCAAATTCTTCCTTGATCTTCAATGTAGCAAAGTTGACGACACAATTTTTCTGACAGACCCAAGAAAAGAATGTAATCCGGTATTTGATTTGATGGATTTGATGTTTTCAATATGATGAACGCATATATGATTGAAGGATTGAACTTTTGATCTTGTGTAGGATGAATTCTCTCTAGAAAATAGTATGTTCAATCTCCCTTTCGTAGAATATGCGGCGCTTTTATTTATAGGTTGGACATTTTAGATAAAATGGGCCAAGTAAAAGTCTCGAAAAATCGAAATTACGTCTGGCCGAAAAAATACGTCGCTAGAGTGAGGAGGACGGTTCGCTCAAGCTCAGGATATGTCGTTTGAGCGACAGTGGGGCGAAGGTCGAGCTAGGATGTTCCTGCTTCATCCGCTCGAGCATGACTCCGACGAGCAAATAGCGAAAAATTGAAATGAATCATTCTTGTTCTAAACATGAAACCCCAAACCATAAGCTAACCTACCAACTATGAAACTTTACGATTTAGTCCTTAAACTTTTATAATCGTTCAATTTGGTCCTTTTGTTCACAGAATCGTTAATACAATATATAAACCTAACAGAGTTCATTTAGGGTTTTTAAACTTATTTCTCCACTTGGGATTTGCTCAAAAACAGAGGATTCCTCATTGGAATTGGCACATGCCCTTGATAATTTTCTCCATTTCTTATCAACCATCCCGCTAAAAAACCTAATTTCCATATGTGATTGATTCAAGTTCTTGTTTTCCCCGGGAGATCCAACTTGCTCAAGAGAGGGTTGATTCAAATCCTAATTTCCAGTTGTTGTTGATGCAATCCTAAGAAGTGAAGACTATCATAAAATTATGTCTTTTAGTTGGTAGGATGTTGTTCGTGATTGGAATTGTAGGAAAAAATAGAGGCACCAGAAGCCATGACCTAAATGTTACAGCTTCCCATACTTGCTAGTAAGTAGTCAAACCATATGTATATTTAGCATTGTCATCCAAACTAATAGAATTTTTCTGCTTGTACAGAAATACTCACATGGGGGTGGGCCCATGTGAATTAAATATTGACAAAAAAAAAATGGAGTCCACCTATTTGTATGTATTCTGTATGCTTTATGTGTGTTTTTTCTATACACAAAGACCTTTTCAAACCAATATCACTAGGAGGAACAACAGATGCCTCATTGAACTTATCAAGCAATACTGATGCTGGTTTACCCTTTATTTCACACTCTAAATGCAGGAATATGTAGATAAATGAAATATCATTATTCACATTAAACATTAACAAATCCAGATTGAAAATTGAATGGTAATTTGCCGTAACAAAAACTTCTGTCGATGTTAAGCACCAGAAATATAAAATTTAACTCAATTATACACTAAAATATAATATTTTTATTGACTTAAATATACAACAAAATATAAAATTTCATTCAACCATGCACTAAGCATAATTTGATTCAATTGTACATCAACAAAACATAATTTCAGGTATCTGTACAACCAAAAAACACTAATTCAAAACATAGTTCTCATCTTCATAACCTAAATTATAGACATCAAACAACGTAAATTTACTACGAGTTGCTAAATTTTTCTTTATTCTTAGTTGTGCATATGGAATTGATCCTCGAACAATCCTTTTATTTTTTGTTATGTCTGCCATCTTCTTTGCTTTTTCTTGATTCTGTATTTCTTGAAAGTCTCTCTGCCAGGGTAGGCAATGAATTGGGTGCAAGGCAACTAGAAAAAGCAAAACTTACAGCAATTGCAAGCCTTTCAAGTATTAGAGATACTTGCTATTTCGTATTATTTATCATTAAACGATTTCGTCTAGAAGTTTAAATTCGTGGAAGGGATACAGACATCCAGTCCTTCCTAAACCCAATTTTCGATCCTTTTGCCCGTAATCAATCTATTAATAAATCCTTTTTAAACCCTTCCATTATCCCTAAAATCAAATCAGCCCTGGCTTGTGATTGCAGACGTGGCTTTGCATGTTCTACTATGCCCCTCCTTCCTCTTGACATAACCTAGATTTTCCTTCGACACTGCCTCCTATTCAAAATTTCTTACTTTTGGATAGAAAATGATTTGGAAAAAAAATTAATTAGGTTTGCCGAGAGGATTGGGGAAAATCAACATTTGCTAGGGAAAGGTGAAGGAGTTTATTGCTGTTTTTCTATTAGAATAAAGTCCTGATCTTTAGGGACATCTACGTGTATTTGAACCATTC